GTTTCTTAACTGTGTATGTCTTTATATTTTGTAATTTTGTTGTTTTCCTCTCCCTTGAATTGTGAGCCGCCCTGAGTCCCTTCAGGGAAAAGGGCGGCATACAAATAAAGTAAATTCAAATTCAAATTCAAATAAATTGTATACAACTTTTGCATTGCCCTTAAGAAATTCAGAAAAATAACATTTTTCTCTTCATAAAGGTGTAGGATTGAACAGCACAACTCAGAGTGTGCTTAGCCGACCCATGCAAAGGAAGCTTGTGACATTAGTCCATTGCCAGCTGGTGGAAGAAGAAGGGCGGATCCGAGCTATGCGCGCAGCACGATCTCTGGGTGAAAGAACTGTTACTGAGCTTATTCTTCAGCACCAGAACCCCCAGCAATTATCTTCAAATCTTTGGGCTGCAGTGAGGGCTAGAGGCTGTCAGTTCCTTGGACCAGGTATGTAGCAGGGAAAATGGTTTTCCTATCGGTGAGAAGATCAGCTGTGATATGAGCAAAAATGCTTTACATATTTTTTTTATATTTGAACAATTGAAAGCATTTAAAAAACCAATTTCTTTTTAATGATAGCGTGGTTCATTTCTACTGTACATTGCACAGATTTGACAGGTTTTACTAAAGTCTTACTAAATGTTCTGCAATACAGTAGGATGGTGTTTTATTAAATTGTTTAAATTGTTCAGTGCAGGCTGAGCAGTACCAGATAAAGTAATCAAGGAAAAAGTCTCTGAAATATAAACTAACAAAAGTTCATTCAAGAAAAATATAAAGTAATATTTAATAAGTTTCCACTATTTTAGTTATAAAAATTCAGCATTTGAATTTTTGGAGTTAGTTGTTACCTAAAACTCTCCTAGCACCCTTCCCTAGCTTGGGTATCCTTCAGACACGTGAACTTCAATTTCAGAATGCCCATCCAGCAATTAGGAAACACAAAGTAGCACTCAAGGCCCACTTCTTAGTTGCAAGGAGTAACACGATCAACTGCTTACACTGATTTATTCATTCATTACAAGGAATCCTCAACTTACAATTGTTCCCAAAATTCCCTTGCTAAGCAAGGCAGTTTTTGAGTCAGTTGTGCCCTATTTTATGACTGTTTTGCCGTAGCTGTTAAGCGATCACTGCAGTTTTTAAGTGAATCATGCGGTTGTTAAGCAAATCTGGCTTCCCCCATTGATTTTGCTTGTCAGAAGCTCCCTAGGAAAGTTGC